ACTCCCACCCAACAGCCTGGAGCTGGTGTGCCCTGAAGCTCCTCCCCCACCACCACCACCAGTACACAACATCAAACCCAACCTTGGCCTATCCTGCACCTGCTCCCGACTTACGCTGGCCAGAGCAGACCAGCTGGAACCCATGAGACCAGCCCCAACCCCAGCCTACCCCATGCCTGCTCCAGATGCACCCGCCCACACTGACCAACACCAGTGGTGACCAGGCAGAAGCTGCTGTTCAGTGTGGAGGAAAAGTTGCCTCCCTCCCCCTTTTCCATGGCAGGCCCTTCTTGTCCAGCCACCTGAAGTCCATGTCTAGGCTGCCCTGTGGCTCCCCTGCACTGCCACTGCTGCCCCGCTGCGCAGCCCCGAGGCAACAGTGACAGCGGCAGAGAGGAGTTGCAAGGCAGCTCAGGCGTGGGCTCTGGGCAGCAAGAGCAAGACGGGCCCAGCAGCAGTGAGGGGGAGGGGCTGCTTTGCCTTGGTGCTCAGCAGCAGCTTCTGCCCAGCTGCTACCACAGGCATAGGGTGAGCCCAGGGTCAGGGCTGTATATATGGGTTCTGACCGGTCTGGAGCCGGTCTGCTTTGCTAGGCCAAGTCCGGAGGGGGCGTGGGATGGGCTGTACTTTGTCCACCCCTCATTGAAACAGATGTGTGAGATTAATGCTTGTTACAAAAATTAATGCGTTAATTTGTTTTGCGTTAATCATGTATGTTAGCTGACATTAACTAACAGCCCTAGTCTGAATAAGAATATAAAAAACAGGATACAGAAACAAACTGTCAAATTACACTTTACTTATATTGAGAAAATAGGCAACAAAGAACACGGTGTTCAGATGTACAAATTTACCATTATTTGTTGACAAAATGCTAGTATAACCATGCTGGACACTTCATTTTCATGATGATAAACTGATTTCTTCAAGGATTTTTCACATTTTACGCAGCTGTAAAAAAAGTGTCCATGGAAATTATGATTTCAGATGGAAAGATTTTGTTTGCCTATTGTTTAAAATCAATTTTGCTACTAGATTGATTAGCAGCAAACAAATTTGACCCCCACAAATTAGAAGCATTTTAAAGGTCATTAAATGTTTTAGCAGCATACCCAATAAAATATATCCTGTACAAATAAACATTGCACTTCAACATACACAAGAATTTACTATTATTTACACAATATAATTTGCATAACAGCAAAAATTATATATACAGAGAAAAGGGGAAATATTAACAGCCCTAGACAATGGCAGATCTATTGTTGACTCCTTTTTTTTTCCTATAGTTTCCCAAGATGCCTCAAGAAAATTATTTCCATATACTATTACATGAAAATACATCTTACAAAAAATTCAATTCCCAGCTAACATAAAAGTTTTTACTGTACTAAGTTGTTTACTACACACAAGAACCATGAAATCCAGTTTAGCTCTTTACACTGAGAAAATGCCACACACCTCTACCTACTCCAATACTGTGAGTTACTCCAGAATCCACACCCAGGTCACTTAGCTGTATGAATTACCCAGTAAGTTCCAAAGGTAATTCCCTGCCACACAAGATCTCCCACTGTCTTGCAAGGAGCGAAATGAGTTTTTCACGGCTTTCTGCACTTGGAATGAAGATGCACCATTGGATTTCTAGATTTCCACTGCTTTCATGCTTTGTGTAGGCCTCTGGGGCACTGAAAGCATCCCCGAAGTGATCCAACGTTAGGTTCTGCATTAAATCTTGGTTCTGAACATCATCGAACACAAAGGTGAGGGCCTGTGGATACGTCTGATAGCCCATAAGTACCCTATCCAAATCCCGGATTCGTCTTCCATCTGTAAGCTGATATTTGTCTCTCTTTGGTGGTTCCTTAGCAAATTCAGGTAGTGGGTAACTGATATAATCCTCATTGAAGAGGAACAAATCTGAGCTAGTTAAAATAAGAGTTTTAGGATGACGTAAACTACTGACTTCAGCAATTACTTCATTATGGTTCACTTGAAATGCCAGGACATATAGTAGAATATCTAGAGACTGGAGACTAGCCAAACTGTCCATCTTCTCTCCCACCAGGAAAGCAAGGTCTCCGATCTCCTCTTCATTGGGATAAACAAACTTTACTTTGCTAGAATGAATCAGTTCATAATTCTCCATTTTTCCTGCAAGCATAATCATACATGAGTTGTACTTTTCACTTAATATTACACAACAGTTCCCCAATGCATTAAATAGGATATAACTTTGATAGTGTATTGTAGCTGAAACAATTCAAGCTTCACATTTATTTATATACCATTTTTACTTGGTATACAGTACATGAATAATTACTTGAATGCATTTCTCTCCTGGATTTGTCTTCTGTCTTTTGCTTCAAGACAATTTCCAGGCAAGTCAGATTGCAGACTGTTTCTGTGGTGGTAATTAAAGAGGCAGAAAGAACAAGCGAATTCCCAGATTGCATTTATCTTACTAAGAGCTGGGGGGTGGGGGAGAATCAATTATTTTTGAGCCCTTAATTTATTGAATCTATTCCCAAATCACTGGAATGCATATCTTAAGTAAACTGTCCTGCTCTGATAGACCTGTAAGAATTAACTGGGTTAACAGGAAACTAGAATAATTAATGCATAAAAACATGTTTTGGACTTTTATAAGTACATGTTACAGTGTTTTAAGAAAATGCAGAACGGACCACTTACCTGTACTTTTATTTCCAAATTCAGAGTAAAAGTCCTTATCTACTGGTTCTGGTGAAGGTGTGCGTGCCAGCAATGATAGCACTGCCATAAGCTGCTGTATAAAAGAATGAGTACTGTAGCTGTCTCTAGTCAGGCAGGTTACTATATGATCAGCAGAATGTCCTGAAGAGAAGACAGAACTTGATATACTTGAATATATAAAAGTAACTTTATTATAACTATTCAGATGTTTGTCATCGCAGAAGATTAGGGATACTAAAAATGATCTTTTGAATAAAAGGATAGGGCAAACTTTCATCAGAGGTACATATAGACACCTTGCCTTGAAAATCAGATGTACACTTATTGGTAGGAGGTTTTAACTTCATGACTATTTGCTGCTTTGAAAATTTAACCTCAGAAGGAGACTATCAACTTACTATCGCTACAAGTGTCTCTATGATTCCCTATGATTAGAAAGGAAAAAAAATCTCTTTCAGTTAACTTTCTACGTATATACTTTGGGTAAGGTCACCTATACCAGCGGTTCTCAACCTCTGACAGGTTGTGTACCACCAATTCAACACAATACAGCCTTCAGTAACACCAGCATTTTTTCATACACGTAGATAACAGGCTATGTATTAAAACAACATCAAAACCTTTAGTAATCATAAAACACTGTTTTATCAGTAAGGGTAACCATATAAAACAATTGGAAATGGAAAAAAAGACAGTGTAAACTTATCCATCCAGGGACGCTTTTGGGGATGTCTTTAGTGGGAAGGGTGAGCTTGCTTGACAGAGCACAGTATTCGGATGTCTGGTGGGTGGATGTGGGGGTGTGTGTGGGGTTTGGAGCCTGGGTGGGAGGGGATGAGCAGCACGTGTCCTGGCAGGATGTGTGGTACTGTGGATCAGGAGTGAGGGGCAGCAGCAGAGCTGAGGGAGTTGTGGCTTGGGAGGGACAGACAGAGAAAGAGACCAACACAGAGGCACACAGCTCCCAGCAGGGAAGC